TTTCATGGTTTCATAAGTTTTGCTACCCGCTTCCTGAAAGATTGCCTTCTGAAATAGTAACTATATCAAGTGTAGGGAGATCCTCTGAATGTATCACATTTGCAAGATATCTTATGAAGACATAGTTCTTTAAAGAGGGTCAAAATCAAAGGAAGAGAAATAGTTAGGCTTCCAAAGATCACCAGCCTCTCGAAATATAGGCTTTGCTCTCATATAATTTTTACATTATCATGACAAAATTTTCATTTATTTTTGGCAGTTTGATAAATTATCACTGGTCTGGGGGAAGTTACAGCTGCATCTTTTGGGGGTTGAAGAGTAATAACACACTTTTGTTTTTAGTTTTTTTTTATAGCAACATTATATTTTAATTTGTAACCAATAATAGCAACATTATTTTATAGATAAAAGTAAAGCATGGTACTTGCAATTCGTTACTCATTATGGAAACAATACATAGTTAGATCTCTTTACCAATAATAGCAATATGTAACAAATGAAGTACATTACGGGTTGAAGTATAAGTATGCTGCTATTATGGATACAGAACCAAGTATATTGCTTTTATCAGTAAAGAAGTTTAAGTATGTTGCTGTTATGGATAAAAATAAAAATAAAACAACATTCCTATTATTGATAAAAAAGTACAAGTATGCTGTTGCTATTATGGATAAAAAATGTAAGTACGTTGCTATTATGGGTAAAAAAAGTATGTTGCTATGTGTAAAAACTAATGAACATTGCCTACATTGGAAAAAAGTGTAAAGTATGTTGCTTTTCCAAGCAAGTTGCTGATAGACCCTTGTTGAATCTATCATTGTAACACTCACACTAACAGAAGTTCTTGATAATATTCATAAAGATAGTTTTCTCACAATTCTTAGTGGGATCTTATTCATACGATTCAACAATATGTTAAAACATCAGAGTACATGACTATCAAAAACCAATAGCAGGTAAAAAACCAAACTCTACTTTGTTGATTACTTAATATTAATTAATATACATGCAAAATGTCTTAATACGGTAACAATAAAAAATCCTTTCCATATAAGTCACTCTGTGTGTTGCAAGTTTGCAACTGAATGCTATTTAGATGCTAAGGTATATAACCTTCTATTAAAACATTATATTATACTTTCTTAATCAGACCCATTAAGGCACTGTAATTTATTATTTTTCCAATCAAGTTAAAGGTATATAACCTTCTATGGCATTATAACTTTAATTTTTTTTATTATTATTATTAAGACTTTGTATTTTGAAAATTTAAACTTGTTTAATTTTGGTTAACCATATATAGCATTTTATATTCAAAATCTAACCTAATTAAAACGTTGTATTTTGCATTTCTTTTGCTTATTGAGACAACGAACTTTGCAAAAGTTTTACCTTTGAACTTTTTCTTATTAAGACTTTTTACTTTGAAAATCTAATATTATTAGACATTATACTTTTTTTTTCCTACATAGAAAATGTATTTTGGAAATCTAGACAACCATAACATAGTAAGATATTTTCTTCTACTTTTTTTTTTGTCCTATTAAGACATTGTTTATTGAAAATCTAAACATGTTTTATATTGGTTACCAGTTGTAGCATTACACCTTAAATTTTCTTGTTAATAATGCCCATGTTTATTTAGTTATATATATATATATATATATATATATATATATATATATATATATATATATATATATATATATCTTATCTTACTTTGGCACACATATGAAAGATCCAACCAGATGATATTATGGTGGCTCAGTTGGATTTTAGTGTAGTTAATGACATCTTGACAAAATTGTTGTTTGTTTTAGGACTTAATGGGGGACAAAACTTTACATTGTATTTTATAATCAGTAAGGCTTATTGATGCTCAATTAGGTGTGTGGCTATTGCATTGAATCTCAAATAAGGGTGCTGGGTGATTACTGCCTTCTACCCATTTATTTATAGCATCAAACTTTCAAAATTTTTTTTGCTTATTAGGACATTTTACTCTAAAAAGATTTACCTAGTTAAGCAGTGAAATGGATTTGTATTTGGGGACACCTGGCATGCTCTTTTAGAAACTGTATACTCATTTCTGTTACGTTTCTCCATGTTTTGTAAATTTTGGGTTTTAATTTTCCCTGATATATTACATCTGATGGGTTTGATATTTAGCATATCCAACTGATTTTGGAAAAAAGCTTATATCATCAGATTGTGTATTGTTCCTGATATAAGGCAAATAACCCTTTTTTTTTTAATAAGTGCTACCTGAATAATGATGTCTTATATTTTCTGGATTTGTGTCCATATCTATGATTGACTTGATAAAAATTGCTTTCTTTTAGCAAAGAATTCAATCTATTTTTTATGTTAAAAAGTTCACTTAATTAAAAAGTTCTTAATGTCAAATTCATAATTAAGTGATGCTTTCTTGTCTATATCAGTGGTCTTTCTCTTGCTGTTATTGGAGGTTCCCTGAAACCCCCCTTCCCCCTATGTACATATGTAATTGTGCTCCGGTTGTTAAAATTTGCATGCTGTTCTTTTTACTCACTGAAATTTATGGAATATGGATACAAAAATGGAGATTATAAGTACTAACAGATAGTAGTCCGTTTCTTGATCATCAGTTCAACAGCATGTTCTTATTGTCAGGTTGGTGGTTTAGGTCCAAAAGGGAATCTTTTTTGCAATTTTGGTCCTTATTTCAAGGTTTCATAACGCTTTTGGTACTAGGGTTGTTGTCACGTAGATGTTAAATTTATGAAAAATAACCATTTTGTCCCTTTCATCATCATCTCTTTGATTTCCATTTTAAAGGAGCAGGATGAAATTTCAACAATTATCATATATGTTGAAGGAGCAAAACTAAAATATGGTACTTATTTCTTGGTGTGATAATGCGTTTGGTCTCTAGGTCTCGACTTCAAACAGCCTATATTCTAAATTTATGAAAAGGACCATTTTGCCAATGTCTTTTTCATCTCTTCCATTTCCATGTTGAAGGATCATATTTTACCCTCAACAAAATTCACCACTTCTCTTAAAAAATTATCTGTCTGGTTCTGGAGCATAATAACTTTAACAACACAGATGTTAAATATTTGTACATGACCGTTTTGCCCCCGTCTTCTTCTTCTTCTTTTTCATTTCTATGTTCAAGCAAATTAAATAAAACCTCGAAAAAATTCATCTCTTTCATTTCCACATTTAGAAGTTATTGTTTTTCCTGGGAAACAACTTTACAAGTGACAACCTTGTTTTGGGTCATTGTCAAAGTCAAAGTCAAAGTCAACATGAAAGGAGACATAATTGGGCTTCCAATGATCACCAGCCTCTCCAAATGGCTACCAAAAATAATTAGGCTTTGCTCTCATATAATTGTTACACTTACACACTATCATGACAAACTTAATATTTTTCATATATTTTTGGCAGTTTGATAAATTGTTATTGGTATGGGGAAAGCCATAATATCAAGATACTTACATTTCTTTTATAGATAAATGCATCGTACTTGCAATTCCTTTACCAATAAATAGCAATATGCCAATATTGTAACAAATAAAGTACATTGCCCATATTATTATGGGTAAAAGAATAAGTATGTTGTTATTTATGTACAAAAAGTAATGTGCATTGCCTATATTGGTAAAAAGAGTAAAGTACTTTATTGCCAGTGGTCAATAAAGTACAGTTTTGTTGCAAGGTTTGTCCCTGCTACACCAGATGTGTTGCAAAATGTCTATGAAGTCCCAAGTGAAATGACTATTTTGTCCCTGTCTTTTTCTCCTTCATCCTCTAAACCTAAGATTCCTCAAATTTTCATTCTAAACTCTAATCAAACCAAAACCCAGTAATTAAACTAAAAGTAAAAACAAAAAAAACAGCCAACTAAAAAAATTAGTATTAGGTTACAAGTTTTATTTTTATTTTTTGGATCTTGATTTTGTTTTAGTGTTTGGGTGTTTATTGAAATTGGTTTGGTTTTTATGATTTAAGATGAAGGAGATTGAGAAGATGAAGAAGATAAGGGCAAAAAAAGTCATTTTACTTCAAACTAATTGATCATTTTACTTAAAAACCTTTTTTTTTAATGCACTTGATGCCAGAGACGAACCTTGCATTGTTTTTCATCATAAGCTTTCTGGTGTTTTGTTTCTTTAATGGAATGATTAGGTCCAAATTTCAACCGTGATCAAAACGGCATGCACACTCAACTCTTTAACCTATCTCCCAGGGGTATTCTGGTCATTTAATAAAAAGGGAAGAATGAGCCTGGCATTCCTTCCACCTGCCCCTATAAATGGTTGAAGTCCACCAAATAAATAATAAATTCAAAGGAGTTTATTTGCCTAAGTTGAATTCCGTCCAAATTTTCAACCACATTGGAATCTTGAATTCCAATTCCACCAGCATCCACAATCCCAGTTCCTAGTTGTGATTATCAAACAGGGAATTTCAAGAAATCCAACAGAAGTGGATTCCATCCAAATTGTCAACCAAACACGTCAAGAAATGGAATCTCGGATTCTGCAACCAAGCATCATTTTTCCTTAAAAATAATACATTATGATTATTATTTCGAAGTTTCTTTTTTTGAACAAAAGTTGAGATGGCCGAGTTGGTCTAAGGCGCCAGATTAAGGTTCTGGTCCGAAAGGGCGTGGGTTCAAATCCCACTCTCAACATTCCTAATTTTTTTTCTTTATGCTTCCATTTTTCTTCAAACTTTTTGTGTTTTTCTTACTAGCATTAAAAACATTTGCAACATACTCATAAACTAATTACAACTTTGGAAAATCATTATTGACAATCTCTTTCTCTTAGGGTCCAATACAAATTAAAAGTAAATAAATCTTCTTTGATTCACTATGTTTTTTTCGTTACCCTTCAACAATCAATTTTGTAATAAAATTCTGTATTAGTTCATAATAGAAAATTAGAAACACCCGTGTTGCTTAATGTTTTGCTTGTACTATATCATCATATCAAATCACAATTGGGTTGGAGCAATAGTGGCAACGAATGAAATCCCAAAAAAAAAATAACTAATTCCAAACTGAACAAGAATAATAAAATAGGTAACTAATGGTCAAAAAACTAATTAACCGAAAAAAAAGATTATAAAAGATAAACATGATGATTTACAAAATGAACTACAAAAACACATTTGGCTCACGTTAGCCAAAACTCATAAAAACGAACTGTAACCACCCCCAAGGGCCAAGGGGTACTCTTGGATTAAATTTGGCAGATACCTTCAAACATGGGCAAATGATAAAGCCAATATTCTGTAACCAAATAGCAAAATTTGTTAAATTATATGGTTATATGAAACAATGAAGTTTTCTAAAAGAAAAAAGAAAAAAAAAACAAATAGTTACTATTAAAGTAAAGTCAATAAATAAACTTATTTAAAGGGTTAAGCTTACTGGAATGCTTAAAATCTGCCCTTCGGGGTTAGTTAACTAAAACCGGAAGGCTTCTTCTTGCAGCAACAGGAATTGACTTTAATACCCTCAGAGCTTCTCGTGCGGATACTTTAACAAAATCAGAGCACAAATTCTCACTCTTACTTAATTTAGAAAGATATAACCAATCATCATCAACCATGTGGCACACCTCCATGACTGAATATTGACCAAACACACAACCACAACAACCACCGGAAACAAACTCCCATGAAACCAAGAACCTATCCATGAAATGACCAATTTGCCCTTGATGAAGTTGTTTAACATTATTAACCAATTCCACCACCTTACATGATCCATTGTCGGGTAAAGTATCGGTTTTTAATTTGAATTTTTCGTGTTCGTTTTTTTGCAATGAACAAATGCTTGTGTGAGTTGACTCACTAAGAATCTTGACTCGTTTGGCTTCGGATAGAATAGACTCAAAAGATTTTGTGTTTAGAAAATGCATATCAGATGTATTTAAGAAAACCATTTTGTGTTTAGAAAATGCATAATCTTCCATTTCTATAATCTGAGTCATCTCGCTTGAAACTTTGACTTTTTCATTAGAAGAAGCAGCATAGAATGATTTCATCTTCATAGGTAAAGTGGAATTCACAGAACAACATATAAGAAGCTTGGTGCCTTTGGAACTAGGCGATGGACATAGGTAACAACCTGCTGCGGTAAAAGAAGACTGCAAAGGGCAAAAAGGTAAATTTACATTTAGGTAAAATGGGAGTTGAAGATGGTAAAAATTAACACAAACCTTGCATGGAAACATAATACGTATTTAATCCAATAGTAACTTTTGTGCATTCCCACGAACTGGTCTTTGCCTTTGTGATATGAACTAGAAATAGAATATGACAAATTATGGAGAATTAAAAAATCTTGAACATAAATGTTTTTTTTTTTTTTTTTTTTTTTTTTTTTTTTTTTTTGTATTTTGTATTTTTGATTGTTGAAACCTGTAAGAGGAGTGTCACAAACTTGGATAGACAAATATCAAGCACTTTTGATGGATTTAGAATACTTAAATCAATAATGGCGTATCCTTCCTGCATATCCAACAAACAAGAAAGCTGCTTGATTAAGAATAAATGATGTTTATAAATGCAAGAACTAGCAATGTACTTTCATTTTTTCCTCAATTTATCTATTATGCATTGTATAATTCTTGATTTCTTGAGGATAAGATAAATTTTGTGATATAATGAAATTAAAAACTATAAAGAAATATATTATTTTGTAGAAACAAACAGGTAGGTACTTACTGGCATAACAGTCACAGATTGATTCATCAAACTGCAACAAATTTGGTCAACATAGACACGAGTCATTCGACACGCGGATATAACCGCTTGCAACTCTGATTTAAATATACCTGTGGAAGGTGTTTGACTATTTGTGAAATGTCTAAAATACCCTTTAGTAGTAATCACATAACAAAATGAATCTTGTGGATCCAAATCAGTATATCTATATCATCTAAAATAGTAACTATTATAAAAATATAGCTATCAAACTCACATGATGATAAGTTTCCCAATGACATTCGGATCCTATTGCGTGCAAATATTGTATTTTGATTTGTGGGATCTTCCACCCACTGTTGTTTACCCTCTTCACATATCTGTCAATGAGATATAAATATATAAATTTATCAAAAACTCAAAGTAATGTAAGAACAATAGCATACCTTATACAAATCTTGTTTTGAGAAATCCAAAAGTGGGCGAACAAGTAGAATGCTGTTTGAAATTCCATCATCAAGACTCTGATGTGTAGCAAATAACTGAGTGGCCAATGCCATGCCAGCTAATCCAAGAACACCACTATTGCGAGATAGCCTAAGAATAAATAATTCCGCCTGAATTTTATTCATTTTTTTTTAGTATCTCAAACCATGTAATTCAAGAAATAGAAATTGACATTACGATTTTCTCATTAAAAATGGTTATAATAATCACAAACCTGGTCATCAGCATGATGTGCAATTAGTAGCAACCCCTATCTGGTGTTGAATGCAAATATTCTGTAACTTTTCATATCTGAAAAGAATATAGCAAAACTATCAACAGATTATATATATACACACACACACACACATATATATATATATATATATATATATATATAGAACTCTTGATACCTCATATCACGAGCTGCTTCTTGCAAATGGCTGAGTTTTGGCCTACCATCTGGCCATTTGCAATGGGCAATCTCACATCTGATTCCTACAAAGATCCAAAATTAACCATCTTTTGTCCTGTAAAAAGTTTGAGTTTTTTTACTTTTTACTGGCAAAAACAACTCAAAATTTGTACTCATATTTAGGATTCGATGTTGAACTGTTTCTGCTTCGTTGCTTTCAGGACATAATCCATGGTCAACTATTATTGCCAATAATCCATCAATAACATCTTTGTTTTGCCTTAAAGCAGCATTCAGTCCATGAGTTTTCCAATCAGCAGCTAGTAAACATAACGCCATGCTGTCAGGACCACCAGGAGACACCCACAGCTGAAACAAGATACAAACAATTTGTAAAAATAATAACAAAAATGAGTAGAAAAGAATAATCAAGAATTCAAATATGATTGTGTAATTGGGTATGTGAAACTAACCAATATGATGATGGGGTTTGAGACCTGCCATAGCCATACGCCTTGAGAAAGTTTCTTTGTACTTTGAGAGTTCAATTGATTCATCTTGGAGATTAGAGGAACAACCACACAGCAATCGAACATGGATTGATTTTCTTGAAATGGAAGAAAAGGTATGAAATTTAGGGGAATTCTTTGAGGGTGATGATAATCCGATTCGAATTAAGTGTGAGCATGGCGTTGGATCATAAGATTCTACCAAAGATGACATAAATATAAGTTAAAACATGATAGTTGTTGGAAGAAACACATAAATACATAATTAGAGAATGGCTGAAACTGAAAATACAAAAATGTAGACAGAATTATGAACAGAAAGGCAGAAATGAACAGATTACAGAATGGTTACCACATAATTACAAAATTATGTATTTCAGAATTACATAAATGATAGAAATGATAACAGATTGAATAATTAAAGAGATGGTAATTGAAGCAACAAGCAACAGATAACAGATTACAAATGATAAAGTACAGATTACAGAGTACTGGATGGTGATATGGTCAATGCAACAACAAGTAACAGGTAACAAATAAAATCATAGAATGGTTACAGAAATGGTAAACTAAATATGAATACATAACTAGAGAATGACAATGACTAAAATACATAACTACAAAGTATTGGATGATGATATCCAATATCCAATACTTTGTAATTATATATTTTAGCAATTCTCTAATTATGAAAAACAAGTTTATTCTTAGCACTAGGTTACAGCATTGAGTTCATTGTTAACAACACAAATTTACAGTAACAAGCAACTACATTGAGTTCATTATGATGCTCAAAGGAACTTCATTGAGTTCATCTTAGCACTAAGATACAGTTACAATGTAAAATAAGAACAAACAACAAGTACCACTGTTGCAGTATGCAGATAACTCTCAATGTAAAATAAACTTGAGCTCTCAAACTCAATTCGATGGTAAATCAGAATAACAAGCTCACCTGTAAGTGTAGAATTTGGAGTTTCGAACTGCTTTAGGGAGGAATTAGTAAATTGCCCAGCTATATCTCAGATTCTACCGATACTTGAGGCTTTGAAGTCTTGAAGCACTGAAGTAAGGAGAAAAGCAATTCTAGGGTTTTTTTACTCCTTTACGGTTCAATTCAAACAGGAATAGAGAGTAAAACCGTTTAAGAAAAAAGGGTTAGAAGGTATAGCGTCGTCGTTTTGTGTTTGTGAATGTTGTGTATTGTACACAAAGAATACGCAAGGCAGAGAAGAAAACTAAATGTGTGGGTGTGTACTCTATAGTCGGAGCTGATAACCGATGACGTCGTGGCGGTGGCGGTGGCGGTGGCGGCGGCGATGGTGGCAGCGAGCGGCGGAAGGGTGAAGCAAATAACGAAAAGATTCAACGTTTTTATCTCTACTTTGTTCATAAAAACTGTATTTTTATTAACTTTTGACAAAATTACAACAATGGTTATGTTATGTCAGAGGCAAGTTTGGTTGAAAAAGATTTGGATTCATTAGTCAAAAGTTTGATTTTGTTGGCCAATTTGATTAAAAAAATTCAAATTTTTTTATAAAAACATATTTGTCTTCGGTATTTTTTTTTTCTTTTATGAAAATTTCAAAACTTTTTTGTAAAGACATATTTGTTTTTGGTATTTATTTTTCTTTTTCATTTTTTTTTTGGTAAATCTCCAGAAAAGCCCTAAAATTTTAGTCCAATTTATGAAAAAGTACCAAACTAAATTTTGTTTATAGAAAAGCACAGAATGCCGGCTAAAACTTCGAAAAAACCCTTTTTGGCCGGTTTCGGAGATTTAGTCGGTAATCTGTCCTTTTTCGTTAGTTTGCTCAAAATATTAGGACTTTTCTGAAAATCACCGGATAACCAAAATATTGGGACTTTTTTGAAAATTACTATGGAATTAATTGATATTATTATTATAAAATCATTTATAAACATAACAAATATTTTTTATTATAAACAAATGAAATACATTTATTGCTAATTTCTATGAATAGAATGGTCGACTAGGTACTTCTTAATTGTTTGTTGACGACTTCAAATTCCTTATATTCCTCCTATGTATCGTTGTGAGTGTCATATGGAGATGTACTATGTAAGTTTTTTCAATTAAATACAAGAGCTGATAATATTTATTAATACACAATCAATAAGTGTCTACTTGCTATTAAGCGTGATGAAAAAGGTTTTTTCTAAGTTTTAGCCGGTATTCTGTGCTTTTCTGTAAACAAAATTTAGTTTGGGACTTTTTCATAAATTGGACTAAAATTTTAGGACTTTTCTGGAGATTTCTCTTTTTTTTATTATAGGAATCAAAAAAG